GCCCGCCCGGTGTTCGGGAGGTCATGGGTTCGATTCCTGTCGGGGACTCAGAATTTTTCTTTGTCCCACGCTCGTGTCATGTTGATTAATTCACCGTCATATTCACTATAACGTTTTCATCAAATGTTGTCTTTATGGAAGTCTACTCGAAATTTGACATCTTTGCTTGGTTAAAACAAATTGAGCAGGCTTTTAGGTAAGAATTTGGAAGCTGAACTAGACTAATTGATGATTGGACTCTTCTCACAGGAAGATGTTGGTCTCTATGTTGTTGATGGAGTTTTGGAAGAGATTCGCCTTGGAATGGAGGTACAAGTTAGCGAATAGTTCACATAGAGTAAGGATCATATCACACCTGACAGCCTGCTTTTGGTAGCAGCGTGTTTGGAGGAAATATAATTATAGTTCTTAGCCCTGTTATTTCTCTGTTCAGCTGCCTGGGTGAAAATGTTGTTTAAAAATGTTTAATGTTTATACTGGTCGATGCGGTTAGCTACAACGACCTAGTTGTCAGGCATGCTAATAAACTGAAAGAAAGAAATATTTCAAATAAACGTAATAGGCTTAAAAATCCCAACTGACGGGAAGCAGACCAGTCGTCTATTTACAAGCAAGACCGAGCAGTTGAACTAGGGTTTACAGAGAAACAACTCCAGCTAAGTGGTCAGAGCGGGACTTGAACCCGCGACATTCGGATTTCAAGTTCGGCAGCCTAACCACTCAGCACGCTGCCTCAAATGGAAATGAAATATTCAGATGATTAGAATGACATCATTCGTCTTACCACCTTTTAGTATTACGTACTAAGACTTGAAGCAATACAGTGCCATTATTTATGTTGAAAAGGAAGAAGGCATGTACACCGCTTATTGTAGTTATTGTCTGTTAGACAAACCTACAGAAGATGAATCAGCGTCGTGTGAGCTGTGTGAAGTTCTTAGGTGAACTTTATACCTACCGACAAGTCGAGTCACGTGTCATATTCAGCACTCTGTACTCCTTTATCACCTTTGGCAACAACCAAGAAGGTTAGTGGACATCTGCTGTGTTGCTATACTGTACTGTTTATTCTCTTGCTTACTGCTTTTAGTCAAGTATGATGACGACAACTATACATCTTGTACCTCAATTTTTCTACAGGTAATGTTTTTTTTTTTCGCGGGGGGAGGAAGGGGGGCGCGGTTAGGAAGGGGTTCCTTGTGAACTGAGAGTTTATGGCATTGACGATTATTCTTTAAGTGTCTGAGTGCAGTTTACAAGCACTTCAAGCACTGCAAGGTATCAGAGCAGTATCACCTTTGAACAACCATCTTTTAAAGTGACTTCTGGTATGTCACTTGACTTTGCGGGGTAGTTGTTTCAATCTCAAAAGAAAGATAGAGATATAATTCTAAAAGGAAGCCGGAAACAAATGTACTTTATTCTTCCTCGTTCTTTACCACACATTCCCTGATTGTTGTGTCTGAAGATGACTTTTGCTCCCTCCATTAACAGGCGTGGTATCAGTGCTGGACCCTCCTGAACACTTGTTTCGTATCCGTCTGATCTGTACTTTACTGGATACCTGTGGTCAGTACTTTGATCATGGCAACTACAAGAAGAAACTCGACTGCTTTCTTGTCTACTTTCAGGTGAGTTGACAACTGTGTTGAATTTTACCACGGTAAGGTCTGTCGACATTAGAGCAGCTACGCAACGGTCTGCGCATCTTGAAGCCTAAATTTTTCAAGTTCATCGCTTGTAATCCGTGTTAATCTTCTCCATCCTTAACCATCCTTCGTCCTTTCTGGTGTATTATTACAATGTATATATGATACTTATGTGTACCAATGTATTTGTTGTGCCTCTTTCCTGACTCTTACATTTTTAATTATTATAATTACGGTCACCCAACTAGTTTAGCTTTTTAGTTATTTTGGGTGTCCCACTGCTATATGTACTGTACTGTTTATTTATATATTTATAATTATAATCTTGTAAATTCTTTTAGTTGTTTACAGTAGTAGAAATAAACTGTTGTTATCTCTTTGGTGTTTCTCTATCTTAGACAGTAAACTATTATTTTCAGGTTTCCTTCCGTTCAAAGGTAATTTTGCACGCGGCCAAAGTAACTCAAAATACCGTGGCTGAGCTCCTTTAAACCCTTCCTTTTCTTTTAGCCTTCGGATTTGCATCACTTCTCTTCCGTTCAGATTTGAAATTATGGGGCAGTCGTTGAGTTAAAAATGTCCGCAGTTGATTATGAAAGAAAATGGTGTGATTCAAGCACCTTTCCTCTGGCTCTATGCCATACACGGAATGTGAAAAAAGTACTTTCCCATTGATCACCATGAAAGAGACCAAGCCCGGCAGTGTAAAGGGAAACTTTTTCCATTATGCTCTTTTGCTCGTAACTGGAAGAAAAATCAAAATTAAATCCTTCATCTTTACTCCGCTTAACTCCTTTTATAGGCTTCATTGGTTAGACATGGTTTGAAGTGAATCCTCCAATTCAGCCTCTTAAAGTTTCAAGTCAACTCTAATATTAATCACTAATATTTGAAATAATATACCTCCCGTTTCCCGGGAACTTCGTCAAGTATTTTTTGGCAAGTATCGCTCATTGTTTTCTCAGTGTTATATCCTGAAGAAGAAAGCTGATCCAATATGGAACGAGGGACACCCGTTTCCACGTGATGTTGATTACATGGTGGCTGACACTCTTGAGTCGCTCCGTCCTAAACTTACCATGTATACAAGCTTGGACCAGGCTGTTGAAAGTCTACAGAAGTTGAACAAGGAGCATCAAGAACAAATAGGTTAGAATATTTCTCCCAGCATTTGTTAAACCTTTAAATCCAAGTTCTCCTGACTAGTCTCTGTACTCTTTTCATTGACTAGTTGGGCGAATTTGTATGTTACTTTAGCCATTATCATTATATAGATTCTCTTTACTGGTTTAGTGGTTGCCATGCTTGTTAATAGTGTATCAAACTACAAAAGCACGCTATCCTCTTAACTTGGTTGGCTGAGACACCTAACTGATTAGAAGGGCTAAGCCGTACGCAAGTGCAGTGAATAAATGCATTTACAATTCATCCCTTTATACCTTCTTCCTTCAATGCATGTATGCATTCATTCATTTATAGTTGGGAGCATTTGTATTAAGCTTCAAACTCTCTTTTTCATGCACCAGTTTAATACTGGCAAACTGCCAAAGATCTTTGATTCGTTTTTTGTCAAAACATCTTGTAAACATAATGTAAATACTCGCTTTGCATCTAGATCTACTTTCTATCTT